TTATATTATATTATATTATATTATATTATATTATATTATATTATATTATATTATATTATCTTTTGGGGTAATATTATGCAGGGCACAGAAAGGGAGTAAGGAACAGTAAGACAAAGACAAAGAAGGTATGAAATAAGAAAAATAAAAGGAAACATACATAAATCTAGTTTATACCAATACTATTCATGATACAACTCCCTGTCTTTCTGTCCTTGCAAACCATCCTTCCTTCCACCATATCCACATACCACCTATACACTGACTTTGGTCTTTTGAACTTCTCACCTTTTTGAAGATCTTATCCAGCCAGAACTTTCTTGGTCTTCCCCTTTCTCTCAAACTACTTTCTCTTCCTTCATGTATTACTTTTGCAATTCAATTCCCCTTCATTCTATGTGACCAAGCCACCATGGTGTACTTTTTGGACTGGTCACTCACTTTCATATTCATTTCACATTCAGCACACATTCATTCTCAACCCTTTACATTTTTGTTTGACCCTATGCCCTTCTTAAGTATCCCATTCAACTTTCTTCTATCTTTCTCCTGAAATATATAATTCTCATTTCCATATAACCAATCAGGCAGAAGCATGCTTTTATTCCCAGCCATTTTCACTTTTTTCAACAAGCGTTCATTCCTCACAACAGAACGCATAGTACCCACTATGTTTCTATGAGTATTTACACATCCTAAAATCTCTCAATCCATTTCCCCATCTTTAATAAACATCCTACCAAGGTCACAAATCCATCTACTTGTTCTAGGTTTTTTTTTTTATTTATGTATAACTTAAAATCATTCACTCCATTTCCTTGTCAAACATAATTACCACATCTACATTGCTCACTGCATCATACACTCTAACATTCACTGCAAATTATTCAGTTCTCAGCTAACAACACAGCATCACCTGCATACAAAAATACATGTATATTCATGTGCCCAAACCAACACACCTCTAACATCATTGCAAGCATTCCTTATACATTTATCCATAAATACATTAAGCAACCTAGAGAAATCCTGTATCCTTGTCTTACCCCCTGCTCAATACTGAACCATTCTCCAAGCATTCTATTTAACACATGCTTTATTTCCATCATATACCTCATCACCATCAGTAACCAATCTTCTACTCCATATTCTCACAAAGCATTTCATCATTCAAGTTGATTCACTTTATCATATATTTTCTCTAAATCAATAAATGCAGTCTGAATACCACCACCGCTGGCTTAATCCACACCCTCCCTGACTCCTTTGGGATGGGAGGCAGGGCATGAGTGATAGACTGAGACTGTCAATACTTCCAAGGGAAGGGTATAGTGCTACTAGCCTTGAAGGAGGCTTCCTTTCCTGAAGAAGCTCTCCTCAGATCCAACCTTGTTTGATAACCTCCACCCAGGTTTCAACCTTCCTCTTTCTAGGAAAGGTTGTTGAAAAAGTGTTTGAGAATTTGTTACAGAGGATCCTAGAGAAAATGGCAATCTGGATCCTTTTCAGTTTAGATTCAGACCTAGTCATGGGACAGAAACAGTGTTGGTCACTCTGGTAGAAAAACTACATGTGGATCAAGATGGGGAAAGGGCGCTACTCTTGATCCTTTCAGATCTCTTGATGGTGTTCAATACTATTGGCCATGGTATCCTTCTTGACAACTTGCAATGGTTGTGAGTTGAGGGCACCATCATTCAGTGTTTCCGCTCCTACCTGAATGGGTAGTTCCAGTTGGTGGTCTGGGGGGTAGCAGTTGATCCCTAGAGAACTCCGATATGTTCTCTAGCCTTAGTCTTCCCCTTCAAGTTATTTAACATTTACAGGAAACTGTTAAGGTAGATAAGTTTGGGTTGAGGTGTCATCAATATATGGATGACAACCAGTATACATTGCCACTTAGGACCAAGCTGGAGAAATCTTGAACTGATGTCTGGAGGCTGTAAAGATTTGGATAGGGCAAGACAAACTCTGTTTAAATCCTTCCAAGATAGAGTTGCTGTTTGTCGGTAAACATCTGGGCAATTCAATAACAGTGGTCCTAGCAGTTATTCCCAATAGGATCATACTCCCCACAAAGAGCTGATTAGTGGCTCAGGAGTTGTTCCAGAGTCTCAACTCCTGCTGAAACAGCAGGTGGAATGGTCAGGGAAGACTTTGTCCAACCTTTTGGTGCATCAGTTATGATCTTACCTCAACTAGGGTGCCTCAGTGATAGTTCCTCATTTCCTGATCACCACTCAGATTATTATAACACTCTATTTGGGGATACCTTTGTTTAAGACCCAAAAACTGGAACTGGTTCAGAATGCAGTGGCAAGATGGCTGATAAGACTAATACTAATTTTGAAGTCACTGCATTGGTCACAGGATTCTGGGTCTAATTCAAAATGCCAGTCATTAAAGTTCTTCATGGCATAGTACCAGGTTATATCAGCCCACATCTTTCCTAAACAGAAAATGCCTCTCTGGTTCAATCATCTAGGGATGGCTGTTGAGGATTCATGTCAAGAAACAGACTCCAATGGGATTCTAGGAATGCTCCTCTATTGTAGTAGGGTATAATAAAAGATTCTTGAAAGCCTCTCTAAGATTCTCTCTGATCTTAATAGTAAACAAAACCAAGGTGAATTTCTTTCTCACTCTTCTTTCAATTTCTAGACTGTATTCTCTTCTCCAACTGCCTTCTTAACAGTTCGCTTCTTCCTTCCTCCCTTAATGGTTCTTTCATACCTTCTCCAATGTCACCTCCCCTCTCATGGCAAAGTTCACGGGGTGTGGACCAGATATAGACCTTCTTAGTGGTAACCCCCTTCTTATGAAATATCTTAACTTAAATATCTTAAGCAGACCCAACTTTCCTTTTGGCCCATAGTTTGTTTGCCACTATTACTCTAATTTTTTGTTTTTACTGTATTGTATTTTTTAATTTGTTATATACTGCCCAGAGTCTGTATGGATTAGAGTGGCTTATAAATGTTGTTGAACAAATAAATTACTCAATGACTTGCTGTAAAGCAAAAATCAGATCTGTCCACCCCTAGAGTGGGTGCACACTCTATCAATGCAGCTACAATGCACTTCCTGAATTTTGCTGCATCTCTTGAATCCTTATAATCAGGATTTTGCCAAGCAATTTCCCACACACTGATCTCCCTATACTTTTTATATTCACTCTTGCTATCTTTTCTTTTGTGTAAGAGCACAGTACGACATTCTTCCACTGGTCGTGCACAGATGCAGTCTTCACACATACAGGTAGTCCTCACTTAATGACGTAATTGGGACCAGAATTTCTGTCACTAAGCAATGTCATCGTAAAGAGCAATGTCACGTGACTGCATTGCTTAGTGATGGCAATCTGACAGTCCCTGTTGCCATCATTAAGCGAAGATCACGGGTCGTTAAGTAAAGATCTCCTCACAACTTCCTGCTGGCTTCCAACAAGCAAAGTCAATGGAATGGGAAAGCTGGCAGGAAGTTACAAGTCCCAGGTGGCTTGCAAGCAGGCCAGCAGGCAGGTAAGTGACTACTGCGGTGTGGTACAAGTGTGGTGGGGCCAAGGGTGGCTGCTGCAAGGTGTGGGAAGCTGTGCCAGTGGCCATGATGGCTTGACACAAGCACAGTGGGGCTGGGGGTGGCTGCTGCTGGGTGCAGGAGAGTGCACTGGTGGCCACTGCAGTGCCACGCCAGCGTGGCTGTGTGTGCGTGCACAATGGTTTGCAGTTGAGGGGGTGCTGCGGGTGTGCGCATGTGCTATGGAGTACAAAACCCCAAGATCTTGTACTCCATAGCCAAGCTCCTCAGGGGAAAAAGTGGCAAGAGTGGGAGCAACTTACAGAAGTGATTTATGACCTTCTCTGCCAGTTTCCCCATTGATTTTGCTTGTGGGAAGCCAGCAGGGAAGGTCACAAATGGCGATCATGAGGCCACAGGAAGCTACAACTGTTGTAAGTGCAAGTTGGCTACCAAGGACCCAGAATGCGATCACATGATCACGGGGTGCTGGGACGGACAGAACTTTGAGGATTGGTTGTAAGTACCACTCATTCAGCACCATCGCAACTTCAAATGGTTGCTGAACGAGTGGTTGTTAACCGAGGACTACCTGTATGTTAAACTAGTTGCACAGACACTTCATAGAGAAACCACATCCACATTTCAACATTTATCCAGTAAACACCATCTATGCTTGCAACCTTATAATTTTTTTCAAGATTCTCACAATGTTCGTGAGTTCCATCATTTTTTTCTTAGACACTCCTATTTACAGCATTTATTTCAATACCAATCTTCAACATGTTGCTAACTCAAATAAGTTTTCCAGCATTCCCTTAGTCAGTTTCATCCTAAATCATTTCACCACTTCTATTTTTAATTCTATTCATTCTATAGGAGGCTCTTCAGCATTTTTCACCTACTTCCATAGCAAATGTTTATTTCCACCATTATTACTGCAAATATCCTTTTCTCTTTTTTTCATTATGCAATATCTTTCTCTTGTCCTTTTTTGCAGCTGTCACTCCCTTACATGGATTTTTACTTATTCACCACACTCAACTGCAGTATATTATCTTATGTTATATTTTGCTGTCCTGACTGTGAATTCTGTTTTGTGATGCTGGGACCTTACTAGGAATGTTTTGCTATGGCTTGCCTCTTGGTCTATTAATCAATCCCCAGAACTACCACAAAACATCTTTTTATCTAAAGCAAGTATCCTAAACGTTTGGAACCGTTCCCCTTCTTCATTTATGTGCACAACATACCTGATTATAAAAACACAATGCTACCTATATGAAGTCTTACAGCAAAAGTAACTTGAGCTTCACATTACGAGGTGGTTTGAAATGGAAGCCATTTGCTCCTAGATGCTCCCAAGTCCCATCTATGTTTAACCACCATGTTAAACCATCTCCACTGCCCCCCACCCCAAATAGGCCAACATGTATCAGCCATGCCTCTGTTGGTGATACCATAGCATCGCTGAAGAGCCTCTTGCAACTCTTCAGAAAATCAAGAGGTTGAGTTGCAGCTCCAACTCTTCAGGCTTTTCCCATTCCTGCTCCAGGCCACTGCATAAGCCCCCTCATGATTCACTTGCCATCATCATGAAATAAATCACAAAGCAACAGGAAGGGGAAAATCACTGGCCAAATTCAAGGGTTTCAGGGGTAAACATCGTAATATACCTTGGACACCCCAGGAAGGAGAAAACTCCTTCCTACATACACATACCATATCTTTTATCTCTATTCCTAGTGCAAAACACTGGAAATGCTTTCCCAACCTGAGATAAGCAGGACCAGATAAGCAGAACTGGCATACTTAATTAGTAGGTTGCATTTGCATTCTGCCATTAATTTATTGATTTTATTTATTTACACTGCCCGACTCCCAGCAACTCATGGACTTACACAACACATAGCAGCAATATGAGATGACAACAAAGGTCTATCCCAATATTTTTCAACCTTGGCAACTTTAAGATGTGGGGCTGGGAAATTCTGGGAGTTGAAGTCCACACATCTTCAAGTTGCCAAGGTTGAGAAACACTGGTCTCTGCCCGACTCCCAGCAACTCATGGACTTACACAACACATAGCAGCAATACGAGATGACAACAAAGGTCTATCCCAATATTTTTCAACCTTGGCAACTTTAAGATGTGGGGCTGGGAAATTCTGGGAGTTGAAGTCCACACATCTTCAAGTTGCCAAGGTTGAGAAACACTGGTCTATCACAGCAAGATTCTGCTTCCTATAATGCATCTGACACTGAAGCCACATCTTTTCCTCCTTCTTGCTTCCTAACAGTGGTATTCATTGGCAAGTTTCTCAGTGCTGTAATTCTTTATCAGCCTTACCCAGCCTGGTGTCTGTCATTTATTTATTTATCTGTTTATAAAATCTATATTGTCACCCAACTCAAACAATTGTGACTCCAGGTGATGTACAATCAAAAACAGCAACAAACCATACTGTTAAAAACAGCAACAGAAATTAATAGATGATCAAAACTGTGCATTCAGGGGAACCCCCAAATTGCACTCTGGCTCTGAGCAGGGGAATGCTACCTTCCCTCCAGAGCCAGATCGCGCAGGCCCAAAATCCACAGCCACCTGGTCTTGCTGGGTTACAATTAATCTTGTTCTTCCACATCCAGATCCCACCAGCCTCCAGACATTGGGGCAGAACCTTGACAGCATCACTTGTATGGCCAGGGACAGACTTATACAACTGAATATCATGTGTGTTGATGATACTGCCCCATACAGCTGGATGACACCCCCCCCCCATTGCTTCATGTAGATGTTAAACAGAAACGGACAGAGGATAGACCCTGAAGCACTCTACAAAGTCTAGAGCTAGACTGCTCCCTCCTCACCAACATGAATTGGAAATGGCCCAAGGGGAAAGAGGAGAACCATTGTAACATTGTGCCTGCTTTCCCCAATCCCCTAAATCAGTCCAAAAAGAATTAAAAAACACTGAGAGCACAAGGAGGGCCAGGATGGATTCTATCCGCCCATCCTGAGCCCATCAAAAGCCATCAACAAGTGCAACTAATGCTCTCTTGTCCCTGTGTCCCAGTCTGGAAGAGGTCAAGATAATCCACTTCCTCCAGAACCCTTTGAAGCTGAAATCAACTACCTTCCCTAAAAAGGGAAATCTGAAGAAAAGACAAAAATTGTCCAATTGTGTTTCAACTAGCAATGGCTTCTTGAGGAGGGGACAGACCATAGTCTTTCCAGAAACACTGAACTTGTATCAACACAGCTGGAGAACACTAGGCTGGGAAAAGCTGATCTATGTGGCTATTAGGACTAGTAATCAATAACAGATCTATCCTCCTGTCAGAACCATTCAGAGCAGCAGCCATCACCCTACTTGATGCATGATCATAACCTATAGAGCAAGTGCCATTTGAAGAAGAGTCCTGAGTTCTATTATGTCAATACTTTCTCATTCTTCTCATTTCAACTATCCCCCTCTAAAGTAAAGAGTTTCAAATGTTTTAGTGTTTCTTGACCTCAGCATGCTGACTGGGGAATTCTGGGGGCTGAAGTCCACACATCTTAAAGTTGCTGAGGTTAAAATATACTGCTTTGGCGTATTTCATACACTGCTTCTAGGAAAGGGCTTCCAGCTCTTACTGAATAAGTGTTCTATTGCAATAAAAGTGTATGCAGCATTTTTACTAAAATATTTTCCTTCCTGTACTTTATTAAGTAGTTCTAGAAATTCTGGTAAGTGACACTATTTTTTTTTCTTTTTCTTTTAAACTGACTTTGTTCATAAGCCTTGAAGAGCTGCACAATGTGTGGTTATTGAGCAAAGGGATGATGAGATCTATTAAGCAATGGACTGTTGTATAGAAGAGAGTGAGAGGGCCAGTGTAGCAAAGTGTTGAACTGGAACCTCAGAGATTACCACTTGATCATGAAGATCACTGAGCGACTTTAGACCAGTTGTTTGGTTATAAGTACACACTAAATAAAACTCCCAATGCCATTACTTTCTTCCAGCCCAACCAAACTCACATTGTTGTGAGAATAAAAAGAGGAGTGACTTCATATTTATCCACTTGAGCTTCTTGGAGGAAAGGCAGGATGTAACGTAATACAGAAATACAGAAATAAATGAATAAATAAAATGCAGACTTGTCTATTTCAGGAGGGTAGATTTTTAGGAGAAGCTTTTTAATGCAAGAGTGGTTCAAGAATGGAACCAATTACTGGGGAGTGGTTGAGAACTCACCTCTGCTGGAAATCTTCAAAACAGAGACTAGGTTGTCTTCTGTTGGTTGTGGATGTCTTGCACTCAGCAGACCTGCTTACCGAGTGACTTAAGAGATACTGCACCAAACATGGGGTTGGACTAGTTAAGTTTGAGATCCCATTCAACTCTATGATTCTTTGATCAGGCTCCTCTGACTCTATACAATACAGTTTTGCCATATTTTGGCACACCCTAGTCTTGTTGCAAATAGGAACATTCTTTCATCCAAAAGCTAGCTTGTATCCAACTATCTTAATACAAGAACTGCCAGTTTAGGAGCTTGAATATGGTTTCAAGGCAACACTATCATCCAAAATTGACGCCACATTTGGAGTAGAGAACTGGCTATGTAAAAACAATTTTTCATGCCCTCTAGATATGGTGGGACCAGCAATATCTGAAGGGGAAGGAGTAAATAAAGTAAAGTTGGTGGTTGTGACCATGCACAATCGAAGCACATATGCATCAACACTGCACGCACATACAAAGTGGAAGGGCTTTGATCACATGGTTGAGACCACCATTTTTGACTTTTTTGATTCCCCAAATGAATGACCCTGCTGGCACTCCAATAAGGTATCCTTAGAAGGACACTACAGGGCCTTCACTAAGACACATCTTCCCTTTCCACTGTGCAGATGAAGCAGCTCTCTGCATGGAGATACAAGATCACCTGCTAAACATCCCCATGCCAGACTGCCATTAAAAACAAAGGAGGACAGCCTCTTGAAAAGAAGAAGCATATCCCATCAGAAATGTGTGAGAGCAGCAGTGCATAAGGCCATCTTGCTGCACTGCACCTCTCTCTTGTCCCCCACATCTCTCCAACTGCAGGAAGCAGGCTTACACTACACAGCCTCTTACCTTGCAGGTCAGTAACCGAGTGCAAACTTTCTTGGTTTCAGGGTTCACCACCCCACATTGGCGGTTTAAGTCACATTCTTTCCCTGTGGGGACAAATACAGAATTAAATGCAAAAGCAAAAGTGCAGCCAAAGAGTCACGTTTCTGAATGTCTCCTGGTGTCCAATTACATGCCTCCCCTCCCAATTGCCTGTTTCCCTTTGATCCTTTAAGGCAGCCCCCCTATGGAAAATGCAATATTTCCAAAACAAAACAACAGTCCTTCACTTTTTGCTGTCAGAGATGCATAAGTACATTAAATACAATTCTTTGTGTAAATGAATGGCATGTCTCATTTTGTATTTTGATATTTATTTTCTTGCTGACCTTTGTTTCACTTTAGTTCCGCCTACATGGAGTCATATCTTTGGGAGACAGATTAGGGTGACATCCTTTTCGTCTTGGCCCAGAATTGTGATCAGATAGTATTTACTGAAAAGAGAAATTCTTTGGGGGTTGGGGAAGACCATACTCTTTCCCCCAAAACTCACTTCCTCTTGCTGCTAAGTAGGTCATATCACATATCCTCCATCCAGTCCTGTAATCTCTTAGCCGAATGAACAAAAGTGAGCTGATACATGCAATATTCCCCTCCCTTCCCATCCAGTCAGGGGTAGTGTGCACATGCGATAAATGCTCAACCTCATGGGATTAGACTGGACAAACTGGTTTTGCACACTGGATATACTGGTTTTGCCAAAATTTCAAAGTGGCTGGGACACACACCCTTTTCCTTTTGACAATAATGAAGTGAGAAAGGTGGTAAATACACATGGAAGGAGGCTTCTAAGGTGGCAGCTTAGCTTCTTCCTGGCCCTCTCCCTTCAAGATTACTAGGGAAGCGAAAAGTTGCACAGAACTTTCTTCCAGCTTTGCCCTATGACTGAGGTAGCAACCCACTCTTCCTTACAGATGAAATATGGAATGGATTTATGGGAAATGTTTTGCTTAGGAAGTATAGCTTCATCTTTACAATACCAGCCATTAAAAAGACACTATCATGTAACATTCCTGACAGTTTAACTTATTACATTGCTTCCAGCCAGAAGATTACACAGTTAGAAAGGCAAGACTCACGTGATATTTTCTTCAAAGATTTTACAGCACCAGATTCTTTCTCACTGAGGCTAGGAGTATTCTCCAGTTTCCTGTTCAAGGTGTCAGCAGGTATGATGGAGGTGCTGCCACCCTTGGCTGATGTCAGTAGTTCTTTTGGTGATGTCACGAAGGAAGGTTTGCCTTGAACCTCTTTTGAGTTAACAGAAGACTGTTTGGGAATGGCAATGTCAGAAAGCAGAGGGGGAGCCTTGATTCCATCTCCATCGGACTTTGGAAGGCTGGAGATCTTCTCCAGGTTTACAACAGGCACAAACAAGCTGGAAGGCAAAACAGCATCATGATTTCTCCCACTTCAGCTGAGGAATGTCACACTTTTACCTCTCTATTGGCTGTGCTTGCTATGTATTTACAAATCAGGAACAAATCAGAGTCTGGCTTATGTATTAAGTGGTGAGTTTTCTCCACTTCTGCCAGTATCCAGAAGAAATGAGTGGAGCCCAAAAACAAACAGGAATAAACCAAGATTCTGGTTTCAGGTCTAATAACAAGCCATTCTTTTAAAATCCAGGATTGGTAAACCATCAACAAAATCAAGGCTTCAAGCTGCGGCTCAGTGTCAAACAATAAACCATGTCTTAGCCAAAAACAAATACATACTTTGGTCTTAATGTCATACACAATCTTCTGAATTGTATTTCATCTAAGTTCCCAAAGGAAATAACTTGGAGGCCCTGTAAAGGCCATTATGACAGTTGGAGTTCTATACCAGGATACTCTGGCAGCAGCTTTCTTCGCAAAGCTGCCTTCCTCTTTTATTAGCACTATATTTATGAACAAAAGGAGAAGCTGGGCTGGTGCTCCAAATGTAATCACTGCATGAGAAGGCTGCCCAAATAGAGGGGGTACAGGAGAAAGTAGGAGAGGAAAAGACATGAAAATAAAGGCCAGCTTCCACAGACGGTACAACAGGAATCTGGAAAAAGTGGGGAGCCCTATCAGGGATAACTCCATGCATGATCCCAGCACCTAGCAACCACAGCCTTCTAGTTCACCTTCAGCCATCAAAAGACCAAGCCAAGGAAACCACCTTTAGAACAATTGCCATCATAGCTCACCTGTTAGTAAATATTCTCCGAAACCAAAATGAGGTTATCTGAACCCAAGGGAGCAGTCATATTTTCTCGCCAGACTTCAAAAATATTTCGAACACTGTGATCTCACTAAAAGAATTCAACCTTAATCATTAAATAAATGAGCAAGCTGTCGTCTATAATGTAGAAAACTGACTGATTATTGTACTGACTGTAGATTTTTTAACTGCTGTGTGCTAGTTTTGCCATAAGCATTTACATACATTTGATAATTAAATAAATCAAATTAATTAGTTAATAGAAAGGAATCACAGAACTATCAAAATGGCATGAAGGGAGTACATAGTATTCCTTATTTGTATCATTAATATCTGATTTATTTATTGCTCTGATTTCTTCTGGAGCTGTAATCCACCATAAAGGAGGAAAGGCTGAAATACATATTTTAAAATGAATTAAAAAATAAAGTCCATGTTTCAAAAATCATCTTTTTTGGAACTATCCATGGCAAATGGGACCATAAATAAATGAATAAAACTAAGAGTGTGCAAAACCTTTTTGTCTGAACCATTTCAAGCTCAAAACAGCCCAATCACATGTGAAACAGCTGTTTCAAGTGCAAAATGAGCTGTTTGAGCACTTCAGAAGTGTTTCACACTCGAAGCTGTGCTGTTCCAAGCTGGAAGCAACTCAACATTGTTGGAAAATAACCCATTTTGTATTTTAGGTGGGGCATCTAGAGTTTGCAACCATTTGAATAGAAATCTCCAAAAGAAGATTCTTACTCTGTATGAAATATAAACCCTACAGAACAAAAATATAAATGAACCCTAGAAGTGCTTGCAAGCTCCCTGTATCACCTCAGGAAATGCTGCATCCTATGTCCTATAGAGGATTGTTTTTCTCCTTCTTACTGCACTTCAACCAACCAACTCATAGCTAGGACTGCTTTCTCCAAGGTATACATGAGGTGAGATATTCTCAGAGAGACTGGTTGGACTTATCCACTCACAAAGAAGAACCCCAGACCCTCTTACCATAGGTTGTCCTTCGGCATCTTGTCCGTCTTTTCGGGCATGTGCTGGGTTTGACTAAAGAAGCTCTGGGATTTTTCCCTCCATGATTTGGTGGATCCATGACTGCCACTGACAATGGGCCGCCCATTGACTGCATGGCACTTCTGCAAATTGGACGAAGGCTGCACCCGGCCACAGAGTTTGCTGAGAGGTCCATGACGTCTCTCTAAGTGGGAATAACAATGCTGTTAGCCAGAAAGCTTGGCTGGTCAGTGAAGGATCCTCTGAGGTAGCAACCAGACTGCTAATTGCAGTTCTGCCTTAGGTATGAAGAGGGGTAGGTACAACAGTAAGCCAGGCCTTGCAAAAGCATGTTTCCCATAATCAGTCCTTGTTATTCAACTACAAATATGTTATGATTCCCAATTTCTTTCATCAGCCATGAGCAAAATATTGTAGTCCCTCCCCAAACCTACTCAGGAATAAAAATAATGTAAACAACATAAATAAATTATAATTTGTAGTTTAACCTGATCACTCACCTCCCAGTCAAAACTGAATTCCTGGCCAACCAAGTCAGAGACAGCTTATGCAATCTCTGTATTTCATTCCAGTCAAAAATTATTTAGATACTTTTCACTGCAAAATTCTGGATCTTTCCCTTCCTAATCTACTCTCCACCCCACCCTGCAAACTTGATTTTATATATATAGTAATGCCCCAGGAAAGACCTGTTGTTACTAAGTCTGAACTTTCACCCAGAACCTACTGAGCCAAAGTCCATGGCAGCATCTAGAGCTAAGCCTAGACCTTCCAAACTTTACAGGCACATTTGTACAGCTTTTCAGTTTACCAAAACACATTTTTAAGTCTTTGCTATTACTATATAGTGTTTTCAAGTCAGTCTTGACTCCTGCTGACTATGCAGTCAAATCCACGTAGTTTTCCTGGCAATTTTTTCAGAAGAGAGTTGCCATTGCTTCTTTCCCCAGGGCTGAGAGAGAGTGACTGCCAATAGAGGTGAATATGTGTAGCTCAGGGTTGAACTGTGGAGTCCTTGGGGTTCTCTGAGCTTGGTTCTTTTCTTGCAAACGTTTCATTA